AGGGAGGGGGCGGGGGTCGGGGGGCTCCCTGCCCTCCCGGCCGCCTCTTGGGTTCCCCCGTCGAGGCTGCTGCGTCCCCACAGCCCCCAGCATCTGTCCGTCTCCATCTCTGTCCCTGCGGGGCCAGGGGTTGATTCCGGTCGCCAGTCCCCGTGCGCCCTCAGCCCTCAGAGGTTCACGTGGGCCGCTCTCCACGCCTCGGCCGGTCTGGCACTGGCCGACCCGCCTCGGTTGTTGTTGGGACAGAAGGGATTTGGACCTGAGAGGCCGGAGTGACCTGGGGGAGGCGGGCCCATCGCGGCCACAGGGCGGAGGTGTGTGTCCTGCGCTGTGCAGCCCCTTAGGCATCATCATCTTAAGTAACCAGCGCGGAGGTTCATGGAACTGCTGGGCCCGCGGGGAGTCAGGAGACCTGGGTCCCGCCCCCCCCCCCCCCCCAAGGTCTGTCACTGGAGGGGGCACCTGGTGCTCCTGTCCTCCCGGAAGTGGGAACCCCTGGGGGCGGTGGCGGAGGTGGGGTGTGTGTCTGATTTGGGCCTAACCAAGGGGTGCCAGATAAGAGCCTGATGTTTTCCTAGCTCAGTGGTCGGCAAACCACGGCTCCCGAGCCACATGCGGCTCTTTGGCCCCTTGAGTGTGGCTCTTCCACAAAATACCACTGCGGGCCCGCGTATAGTGCGATTGAAACTTCGTGGCCCATGCGCAGAAGTCGGTTTTCGGCCTCCGCGAGTCTATTTTGAAGAAGTGGCGTTAGAAGAAGTGGGAGTACGTTTGCTGAGGTCGACCCCTCAGATTGAGGACTTTTTAAGCAAAGGCCAGCTTAGGAGTACCCTAATGAAGTTAATAACAATGTACCTACCTATACAGTTTAAGTTTAAAAAATTTGGCTCTCAAAAGAAATTTTAATCATTGTACTGTTGATATTTGGCTCTGTTGACTAATGACTAGCTTATAGAACAAGGCTATAAAAAATGTTTGTACACCTGTACAAATGTGTTTGTTTTAAGCTGTGTCATTCCAGAGTTGAAAAGTTTTTTTTAAATTAGGTTTAAAAAGTAAAAAAAAAGTGTCCTGGGTTCCATCCCCAGCCCCAGTTCAGGCAACCAATCGATGTGTCTCCCTCCTTACCTCCCCTTGTGGGGTTTCCCTCACAAATGCAAGGTTAGTTTAATTTCCGAAAATCAGTCAACATAATTTGTCATTAAGACTAAAAAAGGTAAACAAAATTAAAAACTATGTGGTCACCGGTGTTCAAGAAACGCCCCCCCCCCACACACACAAAATAAATAAATAAAAATGAAATAAAACCCACAAACCCCCACCTCCTTGTATTCTCAGCCGTGGAGTCTCCGTCCACCTTGTAACAGAATTAGTCCGTGTTACCCACAGACCGGGTCATAAATGATGACACACTGTTTTCCTATTATGGTTCTAATGGATACTATGGCTTCATTATTCCGAGTTCTGGATCACTTATTTCCCAAAAAAGGATTACTTTCAGCAAAGATATGGGTAAAAAGGAATGAACTACTGACACACAAAACGTTGATGGATCACAAAATAATTATGCAGAATCAAAGCCAGACATATATTATTAAATTAGTCTATATAGATCATCTATAACATTCTAGGAAATGCAAAGAACTCTAGTGACAGAAAACAAGAAGTGTGTTTGCCTGGGAGTGGGTGAGGGGAGAGGGATTATAAAGACAATCAGGAAACGGTTTCACAGATGCAAACGTATTGGAACTTGTCAAATTGTACACATGGTTTATTACAGAAAATGTTTGAATCAATTGATAGTGACCACAGCCGTGAGAGAGAGAAATATGTCAGCCCTGAGAATTCCTGGAAGCCCTCCTACCAAAGTCATAGTGAAATGTTTGTGGAAACACTTTCGGAAGTCACATCCCGCCATCTGCTGCAGTCTCCCAACTCCCTAGTAATCAGCATCTCTGTACAATTATGACTCCTACCTGGTCCTTTTAGGGGACAGGGACATCTACCTACTGAAGAATACGCTTTGGGGATGTTGCCAGGCCCCAGGGGTCAAGTTCTGCCCAGGAGGGAAATGTGAAACATGGATTTGTTCCTGGGAACAAGGAACCCAACTCACGCTGTTCCCAGACACACCAGAGGTTGTCACAGCAAATGCCCCCGTTCAAGGTCTCACAGATGACCTTGCATACGGGTCACAAGGTCAGGCCTCAGAGATGGGCACCTCCCCTAGGCGGCCTTGAGCAGCGATGCCAGTTGGGCTGAAACCAGAACAAGAGCTGCCCACTGCACTGAGCCGACTCGCTGGGCGTCTCACAGAAGCTGTCCACCCTTCGTGCCGGCAGAGCCCACGCTGTCCTCCGCCAACCCAGTGAACAGAAACCCCAAGATCAGAGGTGACTTCAAAACTAAGGCATGTGCTGCAAAACCAGAACATCGGGACAGGCAATTCCCAAGTCAGGTGACCTGGAGGCTGGACACACCCATGAGGAGTGCCACCCGAGACCAACAAAGTCCATGAGAACTGGAAAACTCCCCTGCAAGTGGCCAGCAAAACAACACTCGCATCCTCCCTCCCGGCTGAAACTGGGTCATGTCCACACCTAAACCCCCTGGGGTGGGCGGGGGGGCGGGCAGGAAGGAGTGAGGATCAATGAGCCCGGGATACTGAGGATCCCCTGTTGGAAAGGGGAGGGGAACACAGGTCTGCCTAGCAGAGCATGTTGGCCGATGTTCGCTCAACATGGGGCCCTGCCTTGCAGACACTGGCAGTGACAGGATTGTGGCAGGGGTGCTAGGCAGGCGATGACACGCCAGCCACATTGCTCCAGAAAGCTTCCCGTGGAGGGACCCTCAGAGGAATCTTCCTGGGATGGGTGTTCACAGGGATGGGGGTCAACTTCCGGCTGATGGCTACTCTCCAAGGCGGCTCACAGAGCTTCTCGCTGGCGTCAGTCACTCGTGACCACGGACAGGCACACTCCCCGCTACCCTATGGCCTTTCTCCAGTGTGGACTTTCCAATGTCGGATGAGGGAAGCCCTCTGCCTGAAGGCCTTCCCACACTCACTGCACTTATACGGCCTCTCTCCGGTGTGGATTCTATGGTGCTGAATGAGCACGTGCTTGTGGCTAAAGGCTTTCCCACACTCGCTGCACACATAGGGCTTCTCCCCATTGTGGACCCTCTGGTGCGCAATGAGGTCGGAGCTTTGGGTAAAGAATTTCCCACACTCGATGCACTCGTACGGCCGGGCCCCGGTGTGAACGCTCCAGTGTTTGATGAGTCTGTATTTGTGACCAAAGTATTTCCCACATTCGCTGCACTCGTACGGCCTTTCTCCAGTGTGGACGCTCTCGTGCTGAACAAGCGTGGACTTGTGGCTGTAGGCTTTCCCACACTCACTGCATTTGTAAGGCCTCGCTCCAGTGTGAACTCGTTGGTGAACAATAAGGTTGGAGCTGTGGTTAAAAACTTTCCCACAGATGCCACACTCGTAGGGCATTTCTCCAGTGTGGATTCGCCGGTGCTGGGCAAGTATGGGTTTGCGGCTGAAGGTTTTCCCACATTCGCTGCACTCGTACGGCCTCTCTCCAGTGTGGACTCTCTGGTGCTGGACGAGCGAGTCTTTGCGGCTGAAGGCTTTCCCACATTCGCTGCACTCGTAATGCCTTTGTCCACTGGGCAGGGCCTCCTCACACTTGCCATCACCGTGTGGCTTCCACTCACCGTGGGGGGCGCGGTGCTGGGAGCGGCCTGAGCGAGCTGAGAAGCCCTCCCGGGCCTCCCCAGGCGCAAAGGGCACTGCCAGGGGCTGGGCAGGACAGCTGCTCACAAGAAAGGCCTGGCCCTCGTCTCTCCTGAAGGGCTTCTCTCCACTGCCCTGTTTCTGGTGGTGAAGGTTCCCACGGAACCAGAACTGTTTCCCACACCGTTTCTGCCCAGAGTGTGTTTCTTGGTGCTCAGCCAAGTGCGAAATGTCTTTCAAGACCAGGCCACCTGCCTCGCAGGGGTAGGCTTGCTGGGTGGAAGGGCCTGCTTTGAGAGTCCTGACCTGTGACACTCCTTCTGCAGAAACCCTTTGCTTACAAGGTATCTCCTCATCCTCCATTCCGGGCCAAGAACCTGAAAGCAGACAAATGCTGATGAAGTTCAAGTTGACACTGGTGGGCAGGGGCAGTCTCATTACAAACATGTGTCTCACAGAACTAAGAGCAAGATCATAGCTCAGGTTGATAAAGGGCTGCCATGCAGCAGTTGGCATCTACAGGTCATAGAAGGGACCCTAGCTGGTTTTGCTCAGTGGATAGAGCGCCGGCCTGCGGACTGAAGAGTCCCAGATTCAATTCCGGTCAAGGGCACACGCCCAGTTGCGGGCTGTATCCCCAGTAGGGGGCGTGCAGGAGGCAGCCGATCGCTGAGTCTCTCTCATCATTGATGTTTCTATCTTGCTCTCCCCTTTCCCTTCCGCTCTGAAATCAATAAAAAAATTTTAACAAAAAAATAAAAGTCACAGAAGGGAGGAGGCCTTCACTGGGGTGGGAACAAATGTGGGGCAGAGCCCAGGAAAGCCAGGGTCTCCGATGAGGCCCTCACAAGCTCTCAGCAAGGCCTCGGCTGCTGAGACAGGGGAGAGGTGTGGACAAGGTTTGCCCCCTGCAGAGATACGACTGAATCGCTGGTATTTAAGGACTCTCTTGGGGTCTGTGGAGATCAGACACATTAAGTTCAGGCAAACCTTGGCGAGCACTGCAGAGGGAGCAGTGGAGAGAAGCAGGTGAGATGTGGAGGCAGAGGGCGGGGACAGAGGCCAAAGGGCAGAGCACAAAACGCCAGTGTTATAAATGAGAAGAAAAGACAAAAAGAAATGTGGTGCTGAAACAGCTTTGGGCACCGAGAGGGAACTCCTTCTGCAGAAACCCTTTGCTTACAAGGTATCTCCTCATCCTCCATTCCGGGCCAAGAACCTGAAAGCAGACAAATGCTGGTGAATTCCAAGTTGACACTGGTGGGCAGGGGCAGTCTCGTTACAAACATGTGTCTCACAGAACTAAGAGCAAGGTCACAGCTCAGGTTGAGCAAGGTCATAGCTCAGGTTGAGCAAGGTCATAGCTCAGGTTGATAAAGGGCTGCCATGCAGCAGTTGGCATCTACAGGTCATAGAAGGGACCCTAGCTGGTGTGGCTCAGTGTATAGAGCGGTGGCCTGCGGACTCGATCCCCAGTAGGGGGCGTGCAGGAGGCAGCCGATCACTGAGTCTCTCTCATCATTGATGTTTCTATCTTGCTCTCCCCTTTCCCTTCCGCTCTGAAATCAATAAAAAAATTTTAACAAAAAAATAAAAGTCACAGAAGGGAGGAGGCCTTCACTGGGGTGGGAACAAATGTGGGGCAGAGCCCAGGAAAGCCAGGGTCTCCGATGAGGCCCTCACAAGCTCTCAGCAAGGCCTCGGCTGCTGAGACAGGGGAGAGGTGTGGACAAGGTTTGCCCCCTGCAGAGGTACGACTGAATCGCTGGTATTTAAGGACTCTCTTGGGGTCTGTGGAGATTGGACACATTAAGTTCAGGCAACGTTGGCGAGCACTGTAGAGGGAGCAGTGGAGAGGAGCAGGTGAGATGTGGAGGCAGAGGGCGGGGACAGACAGAGGCCAAAGGACAGACAGAGCACAAAACACCAGGGTTATAAATGAGAAGTAAAGACAAAAAGAAATGTGGTGCTGAAACAGCTGTGGGCACCGAGAGGGTGGGGACTGCCTGGGGCCCAGCCTGCATGACACCCCAGCTCCACTCACCGGGGCCACACCCACTCTGAGCGTCTCTGGTGCTGGCTGGACTCACGTGCGCCCAGTCTGACGCCCGGGGTTCGCTGCCCAGCTCCAGGGGGGCTGCCCCACGGGACATGGAAGATGCACATCCTAAGCAACAGACAGGACAGGTCACTGGGCGGCACTGGCCGGCGTGACCCACCATTCAGAGAAGAGAACCGATTATTATAAAAATAACCTCGACCCGGCCAGTGTAGCTCAGTGGTTGCTCGTCGACCTAGGAACCAGGAGGTCACGGGTTCGATTCCCAATCCAGGGCACATGCCCGGGTTGCAGGCTCCACCCCCAACCAGTAGGGGGCGTGCGGGAGGCAGCCGGCCCATGATTCTCTCTCCTCATGGATGTTTCTCTCTCCCTCTCCCTTCCTCTCTGAGATCAATAAAAATATATATTTTTTGAAAAAATAAAAATAAATAAATAAAAATAACCTCGAGCCGTAGCCGGTTTGGCTCAGTGGATAGAGCGTCGGCCTGCGGACTCAAGGGTCCCGGGTTCGATTCTAGTCAAGGGCATGTACCTTGGTTGCGCACATCTCCAAGACTGGTGCCTGCATTTTCCGTCACAGGCTCCACCAGGAATGTCAGCTGCAGGAAGGAGGGGAGAGCCTGGGGCACAGGGTGCCCTGGTTCGGGACAGAGGCACCCAGTCAGGGCAAGGACAAGAGGCATCTGACCTACTGCGTGCCTGTGAGACCCCTCCCTCCTATGCCATCCTTCGGGGCAGCAGGCGTTGGGGCTGCTCAGGAGTCTGAGGTGGCCGTGCACACAGCTCAGGCCGGGCACCCCCGGCACCGACTCCAGGGAACGGGGGAGGGAGGTGACCCATGGCTGCGACACAGGAGGGGCCGGGATCCCGCTGGAAAACAGGAGGGGCAGAGCCCAGTCCCGGGCCCTGGGTGGGGTGGGTGTGAGGGGCTCACCCAGCGAGGCCAGGAGGGCGAAGTTCTCCAGCATCACGTCGCGGTACAGGCGCCGCTGAGCCGGGGGAGGGAGGTGACCCATGGCTGCGACACAGGAGGGGCCGGGATCCCCCTGGGAAACAGGAGGGGCAGAGCCCAGTCCCGGGCCCTGGGGTGGGTGTGAGGGGCTCACCCAGTGAGGCCAGGAGGGCGAAGTTCTCCAGCATCACGTCCCGGTACAGGCGCCTCTGAGCCTCGTCCAGGAGCCCCCACTCCTCCCGGGAGAAGCACACGAACACGTCCTCCACGTTCACCTGCGCCTGCCAGTGGGGAGAGCGGGCCCATGGGCAGCCTCTCCCCCAGGGACTCCCTCAGGCCCCCCCGTTCCTTCCTAATCCTCAGCCCAGAGGAAGCACCAGGACTGGGCGCCACAGGGTCTGCTCTCGCCTGCCCCTTTGTCACTGTGCCCGCCCACAGCGAGGTGGGCAGAAAGGCACCTCCTAAGCTCCCCTACGCCCCCCTGCCCACACCCACCACAGCCCACACCCACCTCGGCAGCCAGTTCTCCCAAGGCCGCTAGGACTGTGTGTACCGGACAGCCCAGGCTGAGCTCACCTTTCTCCCCGAAGCCCCGGGTACCAGGCCCCAGGGCCACCAGTGCACACGCCTTTCCGCGTGCACACCATCCTCTTAGGGCGACTGACACCTGGCCCCTCACCCAGGCGTCGGCCTCACCAGCCCCTTCCTGCTGGCTGACTGCACTGCCACTGCCTCCTCCACCCTGAACCCTCCCAGCACCCCCGTCCGGGTCCAGGAGCCTTGTTCTCTGCGAGATCTCAGACCCTTCATGTGCTCACGGGTGAGCTGATATCCACAGGGAGCTACTTCTACCACGGACCTGCCCTTCACCACTGGGGGAGCACCTACCCTCACAGCTGGTAAGGCCCCAAACCTGGGGTTAGTGCTCGTGCGCTCTCTCTCTCTCTCTCTCACATCAGAGAATCTGGCCCAATTGCGTCCACACAGCCGACCTCTGACCCACCCATTACTGCCTCTCACCCAGGATATGAAAGCAGCCTCCTCGCTGGGCTCCACCGGCCCTCACCCCACAGCCTGTTCTCCACTCAGCACCCAAAGCAAGCCTGTTAAACCCGCGTCAGATCACCTCTCTCCTCAGCCCTGCACCTGCCATGGCTGCACCACCCTCAGGGCAGAGGCCTAGCCCTGGCCGGTGTGGCTCAGTGGATAGAGCATAGGCATGCGGACTGAAGGGTCCCAGGTTCGATTCCAGTCAAGGGCTCATGCCCGGGTTGTGGGCTCGATCCCCGGTGGGGGGTGTGCAGGAGGCAGCCGATCCATGACTCTCATCATTGATGTTTCTGTCTCTCCCTCTCCCTTCCTCTCTGAAATTAAAAACATAAATAAATCCTATATAATAAAAGGCTAATATGCAAATCGACCAAATGGTAGAACGACCGATCACATGACACGCACGGACCACCAGGGGGCAGATGCTCAACGCAGGAGCTGCCACAGGGGGAGCACCACTCAGCCAGAAGCCGGGCTCATGGCTGGCGAGCGCAGCGGCAGGAGCGGGAGCCTCTCCCACCTCCGTGGCAGCGCTAAGGATGTCTGATTGATGGCTTAGGTCCGCTCCCTGCACTGTCAGTCAGACATCCCCCAAGGGCTCCTGGGCTCTGAGAGGCTGCAGGCCGGGCTGAGGGACCCCTCCCACACACACATCAGAGTGCACGAATTTCATGCACTGGGACTCTAGTAAATAAATAAAAGTTAAAAAATAACAACAAAAGCCTAACTCCCCCCCACCTGCTTTTGATGCCTGGTATTTAAGGACTTGAGAACCCCCATCCCGTCTCTCCTCCAAGTATTTGCACCTTCCACCCCTTATTCCAATGGCGACCAGGGACGGGAGCCCTTCCATTCGACCCCAGGCTGGGACCCGGGACCCTGGGCTGGGCCTTTCTCCAGGGTCCGCATTCTCAAGAACTGTGGGTGTGCCTGTGGCCTCTGACACCACAATCCTGGAGACCAGGGGGGTGGGGGTGGGACCAGGGAGCGCCGCATCCTCCCCTCACCTGCAGGTCCATGATCACTTCTGAGCTCGTGGGAACCTGTGGGGAGAGGGAGACTGTGAGCAACCAGCAGCCAGGAAGGGGCCTCAAGGGCTCATGCCTGTCCCCTCGGCCTGCCCTGCCCTGCCCTGCCCCCCACCAAGACCCAGGGCTGCCGCACGCCTTCTGTGCTCGGGCCTCAGAGCCGCCGAAGGCTGTGACCTCGGACCAGGTCTCCCTCCTGCTGCACCGCACTGTCCTCATCACCCCCCCACCTCCGTGTGCCAAGTCTGTGCTCCCGAGCAGCCTGTGGGATTCTTATAAAACCCTCCAATCGCAGGGCGCGCGTGGCGTCCATGATCACTTCCGAGCTCGTGGGAACCTGTGGGGAGAGGGAGACTGTGAGCGACCAGCAGCCAGGAAGGGGCCTCAAGGGCTCATGCCTGTCCCCTCGGCCTGCCCTGCCCTGCCCCCCACTGAGACCCAGGGCTGCCGCCTGCCTTCTGTGCTCGGGCCTCAGAGCCGCCAAAGGCTGTGACCTCGGACCAGTTGTCCCTCCTGCTGCGCCGCACTGTCCTCATCACCCCCCCCCCCCCCCCCACCCCCACCC